TGGTATCCGCTCTGATAATCGATGGGCTTAACGCAACGACCGATCGGTCTTCAACGCAGACCTCTCGATTCGCAGGCCAGGGTATTTAACACTAACCGACCGCTTTTCCCTCGTTCTCGTTGATGCGCCATATTTCAGATACCTTTTAGAAATCGAACGAGTGCCAAAGACGTTTCTTCTATTTCTTTAAAATGATAGCAGCCTGCATATATGAGTATACATTGGTTTTTATTTACCTCTTCCAGAAAGGAATGCCAATTTATATCGTGTGGGCATATCATCCTATGAGCGACGAGCTTGAACACCATGGCAATGACTATAGAGGGGTTTACAGCGTCACACTCATCCCAGCTATCGCTCCAACGCCGACAATAATGATGGCAACTGCCTCTATGCCAGTCATGCCTCCGCAACCGAGCTTTCTGAATCTCCAAAATGGAAATTATAAAGTTTCCTGGATTTACAATAGTAGCATGGACACGTTACACTTTACGGTAGAAGTGAGAGCCACGGGATGGATTGCGTTTGGATTTTCTAAATTTCCTAGGGGTATGATGGGGTACGATGTGGCCATTGGAACAGTTAAGAACGGAGTGGGAACCTTGGAGGTTTGTTGGCAGTAGAAAATGAAGAGTTATTTAGTTAAGTACAGAAATTGTCAAACAACAGCTCTAATTGATTTTCATAATGAAAATCAAAGATCCTCATGGAAAGGAAGGAAGGTATACCCTTACATCCGATCTGCTGTGTTGCCTCAGTTCAGTCACTTCTCGTTCTTTTATATATCCATCTAATCGTCTACCTTTTTTCCAGGATTATAAAACAAACGGTCTAAGAAAACCTGACATGGATGCTAAACAAGACTGGAAGTTGACTTACTCTAGTGAAAATGATGGTATAACAAAGTTCCAATTTTATCGCAAGCTTAACACCAACGACGAAATGGATGTTGTTATCCAGGTAATCAGTGGTATCCTCCTAATCCACCAAAAACAAAAGTTAGCTTTCCACCACTACGATGTTAAATATTTTGTAACCTATTAAGAGTTCCCATATGCTAGCTTTATCAAAATTCAATTCCTCTTGCAATTTTTCGTTTGTTACAGAAAGGAATGCCAATTTACATTGTGTGGGCATATTCTGCAACTTCTGATACGCTTGTAGAGCACAGTAGCAGAGGTTATCATAATGAACGAGTGACACTTGTACCAGCTGATATGACTCTGATGATACCGACCCCGACAACAGGTATAACTTTCCTTCATCGCTCGCCACTAACAAATGAATCATAATAAGTCATAATTTAAGAACAGAGAGGATTACGAAATTAGACTCTCTCTCCACAAAGGCCTCATTCCTGAACTTAGACGTTTTTATTTATAAATACAATAATACGAACGTACCCATAGCAATTTAATAATCGTGATGACGATGATAACATTGATAATATCTCAAGAGACAGAGACTTTAATTCCACAAGATCATTTTTTCTCGCCATCTTCAAATCCTTTGATTTTTATCATGAAAACCTTCAGGGGCGTATTTCAGTTTAGTTTCGTAAAGCTAAAACCTACCTGATCACAAACGCCTGTCAAAACAAAGCAACATACCACAAGGAGGCAATAAGGACTTCAGGTAAAAAACAAGCATTCTACGTCTAGTACATGAGAAAGCGAGTGCCCATGTTGCACATCTGTGTGGTTTAAGCGTGGAAGATAACTGATAATAACGAGTAAATAGGAATTGTATGTGCTCTATTTGTGGGTGAGAAATCTGGTAGAACTAGATTTAAAGAGGTGATTATCAACCTAAGGAACATTAAATTTACTCGTTCACTCGTTTCAGCTGGCATGACTTCGACGACACCAACCCTGACCAAAGGTATAGTTTTCATAGCATTGCGTTCATAATTTAAGGGTCAATAAGAGGTCAAGAAAAAAGACTCTTTAAGTAAAGGCTTTTTTCCTAAGGTTCTGCGATTCAAACTGAATATAGGAAAAATTGTGAAAAGACAGACAGACAGACGGCAGAACTAATCTACGGGAGAGGAACGAAATATGAAGGAGGAGGTAGATGTACTATCCAAATTATTTAATACTAAATCGTGATTTCAACATATTTTCGTAGGGAAAGGCCAGTTCAGTCATTCCTTCGACAATGGTAATTTTCTTATGCGGTGGACATTTGACGATCAAAATAACAAGTTAACTTTTCATGTGAAAGTTAAAACCACTGGCTGGGTAGGATTTGGTTTTGCCAGGGTCGCACCAACTCAGATGAGAAATTATGACGTAGTGGTTGGCGGATATGACAACGTCGGATATTTAATGGTAAGTCTCCGAGAAATTTGTTATGAAACTTGAATTGCCGGCTCCTTACTACTAAAGCTTATCTTGGTTTCAGCTGCATGAAAAAAATTAACAGCTATTCTCATGGGAGGGAATGAATTTTTATGGTAGATAGCCGTAGCGAAGAAGTTTGAAAGTTTGCTGCCACCCATTAATACTTCCGGGACTTTGTCAGGGTACAATTTCTCGCACATGAACACCACTCATTGAATTAACTAAAGCTCGAACTAAAATCTCTCGATCCGGATCTGGGTGCTGATGGGAAACCAACCGTCCTCTTTATGCCATCTTTATTACCGATTTCTTTTACACTAATTTTCCTCATTCTCTATAATCAGGACTATTACACTCAAGGACGAGCTCAACCCCAACCTGAAAGCAAAAACGACTATACGTTATTGTCTGCATCAGAAGTAGCTGGATACACTGAGCTAATGTTTGAGAGACTAACTGATACGAGTGATGATCAAGATATAAAGTTCGTGGTAAGTGTTTGTATTTACCCTAAAAAGCTCCTCTTCACTAATCTCGCAACCAGATCCTACCGTATAACTATAATTGAAATGTAGGGACCTTACAACCGCTTAGCCGTGGAGGGTCTGGGTACGAGACTTCCTCTCCCTCCCTCCCTCCCTCCCTCCCTTCCTCCCTCCACACAGTAAGCCCTGTGTCTGCGCGGCTAATTGCTCTGAGGCGTTGGGAAAAAAAAAAGAAGTTGGCTGAGCGATTTGTTTCGTGAGTTTTCCGTTTTGTTTTCATTCAAGACTAGGAAACAACTTTCAGTTAAAGAAACAAAATAAACTGGTTAAGGAGCCAGAACCTGCTTCTCTATTCTTTAAATTTTGATTATAAGATATGGCTTTGGGCCCGTTTATTTACTGCGACTTTCGAGAAACGGGCCCCAGTCTCAAAAAAATTAGCTGGTGTAGAAATTGGTGTGATTTGGTATGGAATAGGATAAGGATAAAATAGGTTTTTTGGGATCATTTCTGGTTATCTGTTTATTGTTTAATCTGTCAATATTTTCTCTTTTAATCACAGCCTGGTGGTGCGGTACATATCATTTGGGCCTATAGCACTGAGGATGTCACAAGCGCTGACAGCTTTAATGTCCATTCTTCAAAAGGCTACTCTTCGTACCAACTTGTCATCATTCCGACAGCCCCAATCCCTACTCAGCCGGGAGCTGCCTCTTCATTGCATTCCTTCATTTATGTGATTGTTTCTTTAGTAGCAATATTGTTCAATGTTGTAACAATATAATCCAGAGAACTGGCAGAAAAAGTCCATTTTAGACCGCAGTTCTTCGTAATTAGCATGAAGCTGCTTGAAATCCAAGTCTTTTCAGAGTGGTTTTAGTGTTGATCAGCACGATTTGCAGTTTAAGATTGAAGAACTCCTTTTTTTAACTAAGCGAACTGCAAGAAACCATTGAAACATTTTGATAAATATTTTGGCGTAAAACATAAGACTCAAAATTAGGAGTCCTTAGAGATAAGATTTCATAATAGTAGTGAAAGTCCGACAAGCTTTCAATGGGAAAAAGCTTCTTCGGATTTCTAAACATTGTTTTTAAGGCAACGGCATGTTTCCGTTTTATAATATAGTTATAGAATAGTTTCAAAACTAATTTGGACCAAGTTGTCATATTTAAAAAGGAAGCCATTCATAGCTGTGTGAGGGCAGAAACATTTTTCAAAATCGCAATTATTTGACCCGTCATGATCCTCTGAAGAAATGGCTACAAAAAGGATTTGGAAATAATGGGATAAGAACAGGTTAAGTCAAGGGAAGAAAAAAATTAAACTTAGCTTTGAGCTTCTCTGTTTGGTAATGGAATTTTTTGAGATGCCATACACTTTAGAGAACCTTGATTTATGTTAGAGGTACCACTATCTGGTTGAAAAATTAAATCATCTCTTCGTTGACTTTAGTTATCCCTGACGGGAATTTATACAACTTAGACGAAGTATCAACCTAGTGATCCCCGGCAAAGAAGATCGTCGGTTACTAAACACAGGAGCTAGACTTCCTTTACTCGCGTCTCTCAGACTTGATTGACCGTGTATGCACGAGGCAAGCGCCACGAGAGCATGCCATGCCAGTCACGTTTTCCCACGCTCGCCTCGTGCCTGCCTCCGCTCGCCTGTTGAACGCAGAAAAGCTAAGACGTCTGTTCTGCAAGTTATTTGAAAGGAAGTAGCCTCACGTGCCACCTTAGGGAGTATCGTGAGAAAACAACGAAAAGAGCCGATGGTTACATGGGAATGCAAACTATAGGGAGATTTTTTTAACGATCAGCATGGGTATTAGATCTCTCATAGCTTAAAAGTACTTTCATTCGAGAGAACGAGGGTGGTAGGTGCTTCATTCATACTTAAGAGAGCTCGTTCGATTTTTTCCTATAAAATTTGATAAGAGCGTGATTTTAATATGGCTGGTAAGCTTTTTTCCTAGGAAATTTGATAAGAGCGTGATTTTAATATGGCTGGTAAGCCTGCGATTTTCTTTAAAACACTCTGCAGTTCTTTTATCCTCGTGGATGGAGGTTTGCATTGCGTGAGAGAAATGTATTTCCAGAGAAAAATCACAATGGTTCTAGTAAAAGTAATTTCGGGACCTAGATCGTTGGTAGCTATGGTGAGTGTGTTAAGGGCTTAAGTTTATAATTACATTACAATATAACTTGAATTTAACGACTGGGTGGATAATGTAAATAATTTGCCACTGCGTGTCGCTCCGACGAAGGGATAAAGCTCGAAACGTCAGCTTTAGAGACTATTTCGGTGGCCGGCCACTTTACATTATCAACTCAACTGATAAAACCAAATCACTATTAAAATGTGATAATCCTTTCAGCCTTCCTGAAACCATTTTTGAAAGTTAATAGAAAGTTAAAATTATTTTTTTACATCACAGCTGGATACATCTCGCTAATTTAAACATTTAGTTATAATTATAGGCTTTTATCATAACATCAGCTTAGTATTGAAACTTATCAATTTATCCGCCAATCAAGAATCTTAAACTTAAAACCTAATTTTGAAATTTCAGATTTAAATTATGTCGAAACTGCCCATGATAGGACCCATTCAGTAAAATCTGTTAGTTACCCCACTGCTTAAAGAATATCAATAATAAAAAACATTTATCACATCGAAATTCAATTACGATTTGTCAACATTTTAAGGCTGGATAACAGTTCGATTGGGGTAGCAAATTTCGCTCTTCATTTCGACTTTAATGCATCAAGAAAGAAAGAAAATAGATCATAAATCCAGTTTTAGGACCTGCTCCAGGCTTATTTCTATCCAATTTTTTTGGTATTTGCTTCTTTTTCTTAGCTTGGTCAAAGCCACGAGATCCAACTGGATTTTAAACACCCCTGCGGTGTTATCATAGCAACTTACTTGTCTAGCCAATCACAACACGTTTCACCTTTCCACGACATTGTCTCACCTGCTGGACGACCAGCTTACACCTGTTAATTGGTTAGTTAGTATAAAAACAGAGTAAAAAAAATTAGCGCACAGTGATTATTTCGCTGCGTCTTGACAAGCAACAAAGCCAATGAGACACTTGGTTGATGATATCGAAAATTTCAAAGTATGGCAGAGGCCACAGGGCCGTTGAATATCTCCCTAGAGGAGTCGGTACCATTTGTTACTATTCTTACAATTACTGGAGTGACATCCATCGCGGCTAATTTGCTAATCGTCGGAATAACTTGCAAGAATTCTCAAAGGAGAAAGGTGCATGACTTGTTCACCTTGCATAGCAGTTTAGTGGATTTGCTAACCGCATCAGTGGTGGTACCATTCTGGATTTTGTCCACCATCCACAGTAGAACAAATTTCGTGGGTGATATCTATTGCAAAGTCAGCGCTACCTTAGGCCTAGTGGAACTCTTGGCTCCTGCTATGTTCCTGATGCTGGTTGCCACCAGCAGGCATTGTTCAGTTATCGACAAGATGGCTTTCCCCAGAATATTCAGCGATTTTAGGTCAAATATGATGGCTGTGATTGTATGGTTGTTTTCATTTTTGATCAGTATTCCTCCCCATGTTGCATGGCCAGCTTCTCCGGAGATCCACTGTCTCCCAGATTTGGTGACTAATTCTTGGTATACCACTTCAGTTCTATCATTTTGCTTCCTATTGCCGCTCAGCGCAGCGTTCTACACACACATTTATGACATTTTCATCTTTCAACCGGAGCGAATGAAGCGAGATGACTCAATGAGGAGACGTTGCGAGATTTATGGGCTGCGAGGAAGCGAGCGAACCACTCAGAAAGTATTTTTTGTGATTCTTATCATTCACACATGCTGTTGGGCGCCCTACTTATGCGTGGCATTGACCCAGGCGATGAATGGTGGTAAAACATATTACACAGGAAAATTTCCAATCCATTTTGTCGCCTTGGTGGTGGCATTGACGGGTACCGCGCTTAAGGGAGTTGTCTCGTGCTTTGAGTTACCTGATTTGAAAGAATCGATCAAGAAACAGTTTGGATGCGTGGAGCAGGAGGAAAGTGAGGGGAATACGACCAGAATATTCGAAGTTTAAGCAAAGATGTACAAACTTCCGAAAAGCATTTTGTGGGAGGGGTAGGTGAATCCTTGAGGGCTTGCGCCGGCTTAACGGCTCAGAAAATTAGATTGTAATCACGTGTAAACAACAACAACTTTAGTCTAGATGAACTTTAGGAGCAGTTTTAAAGCTACATCATCAAAAATTTATAAAGATTGGCCAAAAAGGCCGTTGAATGCCTGTGTCTTAACAATGCACCAAATTACGGTGTATCTGGTTTTTACGCATATAACCTTACCTTTAACAGAACAGTACACCCACATATCGAATGCATTTACTGAGGCTCTAGAGGGTTTTAGTATTTTTGTATAGTGGTCAGAAGCTTAAATCGGTCTCACAGTTGAAATATAAACATCCGCGGACAGGTATACCGCTAATAGCCAAACAAACCTTGTAATTTCTCATTTTTGCTTAGCCGAAAAGCTAAAAAGCTGTATTACAGTAGCTATGCTATATAAGAAATTTTTCTTATTTGAAAGTATAATTTTGTAATATCACTGCGATAAATGGACAGCTATTAAAAAAAAGTTGGCTCAAATTATAGTATAAGTTTGCCAAATTAGTGTTTGCTAAGATGTCTGTTTACTCGTTAAAGCTGCCAAACCAAGACGATTTACATACATATTTATGCGTAAGAATCAAGCGATTCGTGAATTGGTTCAGTGGAGGTGTGGTTAACTTTGTTATTCCCGCCCTTCAGCTTAAAAAAAGACAATTAAAGCTCCTGAAATCAAAGGGGATTTTCCACACGAAAAGTGCCGAATTCGTCTGTTTTTTAAACATAGATTGTATGGGAGACATCCCTAAATGTTTTTTATTATTTTAACTAACAGCGCTACACCAAAATCACCTGCCGCATTGAAATAGAACTTGAATGGGAAAAGATCGGATTTAACGATTACTTTAAGAAGATGATGCCCACAACTGGAGTTCTTTTTATGCATTTTTCATATTCTACTAAACACAACGGCTTCTTGTTTCATTGCGCTGTCTTTCGACTATGAAATGCAAGATTGCTCAGTGAAACTGAGCAATGTTGCATTTCATAGTCTGTCATGGTGTGAAGACAAAAAAAGTAAACTTGACAGCAGAAATAGTCCCATATCTTTACAATTTTGCACAGGCTTGAACATGAGATGTAACAAAACAGTGTTTATGAACAATTGTTAAAGAGCGTGGTATACCGTTAAATTTGTTTATGTCGTTATTCTTGCAGCTCAGCCGGAGGTCCACCCCAGGAGTAAAGCGAACATATCCGAAATCAACGGGGTACCACTTCGCTTTCTATGCTGACATGCACTTCTCGCCAAATTCTCGCGTAATTTCCACATATGCAAAATTTTCTATCAGGTAATATGTGAACTTGGCAAAATAAGTAGCGTTAGGTAAATATTTATTCTTCAAGCAAATTGGGAAGTATTCAATTAAATTATTTTATTTGTGAATTGCACTTACTGCTCTTGTGTTTACTCATCGTGAATATATATTAATTTATTATGTTTTCGCATATATATGTTATTGTTTTTAGGTTTTCGTAAACGTGAATCGAATCAGACAAACAAATAACCTGTGGCTGCGTTTCGTTTCGTTTGAAAGGTTCGCTGATGGAAAACTTAACGCGGTTATCTGTGTAATCGCTGATATGATTTAAATGGCATCCTAATTTTCGGCTTGTTAAACCTCGAATAAACCTGTGTTGTAATGCAAATTTACTCAACCAATGAATGATAAGTACGGCCAGTTAGTAAAAAGCATCAGCAAGCTTGCAATTGGTTAACTTGCTGCATTCGCATTCATTCCACACACCTTATATCTGCTTACAACCAGGGCCTGTACTGTTTCATTGAATTTATGGTAAGAACCAAAATGATTTGAGCTTTTATGACTTTCTAACCATCCATTGTGAAATAAAATCCAATCAAGGTTCAACTCCTTTTGAAACATCAAAGTTAACAAGATTTCCGCGCAGCCCCATGCTTCATCACAGCTGAATAAATAAAGGGGATAAGTTTCTAGATAAATTGTGGTGCTGCGTCAGTGGGAGAGTATAACAGGGTAATTAAGTGTTATCAACTGATTTGACAACGTAAATTGGCCACCGTAAAAAGTTCAAAGGCTTACGTTTGGAGCGCTTAGCTCTTCGTCAGAGCGATGACAGGAAAAGAAATAACAATACAGGGCTTTTGCATGTCTTGTAATTAGAATGAGTAGAACTTATTATTTGTTTTTGAATAGTATGGTGCAGAAATCTATCTGAAATTTATTTCTCCGAGTTTGTCCGTGCCACGTAATGAAAAAAATCTTTCCTAGTCATTTTCAGTTTCATTCTGATTTCAGATCACATCCTTCTCAAAATAGACTTCCTGCTCTCGACCAAAATTCTCATTGACATAGTCATCGACCACAAAAAGCTGGATATCTGCATCATTAAAACCACCAAACAAATATATATGCAAATAGATTGAACTACGCTTAATCACCCATAGAGGAAAAAAGAAAACAAATAAAAAAACTAACTCCCACGTATTCCATCTTATCCCTGACAACTTCAAATTTGTGTTTGCGAAGCAAACTGCGTTGAAAACTTTGGCAGTTGAACACCTAACCTTGTTCAAAAAAAAAAGCTCTTTAAATATATACCGCTCTGAGTCGTTTCTCAAAAGTTCGGTTTTTCTGTAGGGTTGTGATGACTTTTTTCCTTTTTTCGAACATTTAAATGAGCGGTTTTTGTGACGTTGATTGCTAAAGATTTAAAAAAAGGGGGTAAGTTTCAAGAGAAACTGTAATGGTGCGTCGGTGGAAGAGTACTAAATTACCCTGCTCAGGAATTGATTACGCTCGTGAGAGGATCAAAGGAACTCCGAGCAGCCAAATTCTTCGGGTTTTTCCACCGTTGGATAATAATCTATCCAATTAATTTCCAATTAATTTCCAATTAATCTCATTTTTTTAGGATTTCCAGCCCTTGCCTCTAGTCAAAAATCCGAGATTAGGACTGGGCTCGAATACCAGGTTACTAAGTCTTCGCCCTGAAAATCATAGCCGTCCACCCCACCAATACTCCTTCCTCTTAGAATTACACATGGCGCCTAAGGAGAAGGGTAAGAATACGGACCTAAAGTATGCGATTTTCTTACAATATAGCGTTAACTTTTTCGACTTCTGAGCCGCGAATAGTAACATAAATAATTAAAGACGACACTTTGGTAGTGAGCGATTATCCTGTTGGAAAAACTGTGCTAGGAACGGGATTTGTCGTTCGATGTTGCATTCCACGTGTGGCTAATAAATGTTTAGATTTTCCTTCGAGTTTAAACCATTTTATCTTCAATCATTGTGTATTTCATGCACACGGGAGGCTTCTTAGATGAGGGACGTGGCAACCATTTGAGGCCAGTCCGGAGAGTTTTTAACGAATCAGCAGACATACTATCACAAACAACTTCTTGTCTGTACCTTCATTTATCAATTGCTGTCGGGTTTTTGATCTCAGTGTAAATTACATGAGAACAGTCGTAGACTGCAAATACCAAAACCCATACTCTTAGGCATATGTAAGACTCTCATGAGTTCATCGTTTTTTAGTTCCCAGTAGAATCAAATTTCAGTCTTTAAGTTTGAGGATAACTGTTGCTCTTGTGTTGAACTCTTTCGTTCTTTCTTTTCTTTATGACCCTTGTAGTTTTTTTGGTCTGAATTTGTATTTTGATGTTGGGGAGAAAATTAGTGTCATGCTAGAAAATAACCTATATAGGCAGGTTTGACATGGTTGTTGTTGGTGGTAGGGCTTATTTTAGTAGTGATGGTTGTGGAAGCAGTGTAACTGAATGCTTAAGGTTCTGATTTGTGCTCTTTAAAAGCAATCAACATTAGTCCTCAGTTAGCTTTTTAGAAAAATTGTACATAACTGTGAATTACTCTCAAATAACGTTTTTTAATAAATCAATCACAAACTTCAAATGTGGCTCTGCCAAGTGTATGCCTTCCTTATACCTTTGTATTAAAGTAGAGGTAAATGCAAAGCCTTTGCTATGAAGATGATTTTTCTTACGCACAGATATAACTCATTTTCATGAGGTTTTGCACCTGGTCTCATTTGAATAGTAAGGGGTTTTGGATTTGGAAATGGCATATCTTTCTAACAGACTTTGACTGTGTTTGGCAAATGGTTGCTCCTCAGCCTGTTGAAACTTGTCACTACTGATATTTTGTGCTCTGTTTGATTTTACTGCCCTCAAAGAAGCCCTCTGGGGGGAGTTGTCATTTTGGTTCTTTTATGGAATGTTAATTGAAAGGGAAGACAATTGTTGGACAAAGATGTCATTCAGACTGGCTGATTAACTTCACATTTCAAAAGTCTTGCTAAATTTTTGTTTTTGTTGTGGTTTCAGGAAAGTCAAAATCTGGTGCCTCTGCCAAGTCCAGTGAGACATCTAAGGCCCAGAAGGCCAAGAAGTCTGTACTGAAAGGTGTTCAAAGAACACAGAAAAGGAAGGTGCGCACGAATGTCCACTTCTACCGTCCCAAAACCCTTCGCTTGCAAAGAACTCCCAAATACCCAAGGCACTCTGCTCCAAGGACTAACAAACTTGATCACTTTGCCATCATCAAGCATCCTTTGACCACAGAGTCGGCCATGAAGAAGATTGAAGACAACAACACACTTGTGTTCATTGTCGATGTGAGAGCTAACAAGCCCCAGATCAAGGCATCAGTGAAAAAGCTGTATGACATTGAGGCTTCCAAAGTCAACACTTTGATCAGGTACATGTTAATTTTTTTGTTGATATATCATATGAAGAGTATCTATTTCTTCTAACACCCATAAACTCCCTTGAGTGACCAAGACAGAATTTCTCCCTACAATATCAATACAATATCAAACAGATAAACAAGGAAAATAAAGAAAAATGTCAATTAGGGGTTTATTACTTGATCCAATACTAAATTCTCCAAACTAACATCATAAGAATGGTATAGCAGATAGTAAGGAGAATTGCTAATGGGATCTTGGGAGGGAAAGGGTTAATTGCCAATTTTTCAGTTATGTTGATTGATGAAATATAAAATTCTTTCCAAATATTTCTAGATCTCTTTGATACTGTTTTATAACATGTTTAACTTGCTCCTTCATAGGGTGCTCAGTTCAAAGACAGTTGTCACTTAACCCTTAAACTCCCAGATCAAATTTGTAATTCTTGTTACCATCAACCATACAATTCTTATAATGTTAGTTCAGAGAATTTAGTATTGGATCAACTAATTATCCCCAAATTGATATTTTTCTCTATTCTCATTACTTATCTGGTTGATATTGTATTGATATTGTAGCAAGAAATTCTGTCTTGATCACTCATGGGAGTTTAAGGGTTAACAAAAAGGATAAAGCAGGCTATGAATTGGCTTGTAACACAGTTCTTGATTTAAATTCTTACAGCTCAAGTCTATTTTTGTTGTTGGAACATTGTTCTATCGTGTAGATCTGATTGTTAATGGAATTTTTACGGGGACAATGGAATCTTGATTTGCTGCCCCAAGAACATTTTCAGGAGCTAAATAACAAAAATATTACCACCTCCATCGTGTGTATTTCTACATAGTTACATTGTTGAAGGTAGAATTTTTTTTTTTTAATTTTTAAATCCAGCATGATTCTTTTGCTCATTTTGTTTCAGATTATAACAATATAAAATGTGCGAAATGAAAATTAAACTTGTGTGGAAAATGTAGAACTATGAATTGATATGCACCTTTACCCTTTCCACCCTAACATCAGTTTATACATTCTCCAAACACTTACCCATACATTTCCCTTGGTACTGACAAGGAGAATATGGTAAACAAACAAACAATCAAAGCTTCTTGGGATTCACTCCCTTTATTTTCATGATCGTAATGAATGGTTAGGCTGTATTATTGAAGGTAGTAATTTGATGTTGGTCACTCTTAGAGTTTAAAGGTTTAACAGGAAGCAAACATGTATGGAGATTTGCTATCAATCAAACTATTTTTGTATTCAGGGAATACATTTCTAAAGAAACTGCGTGTGTTGGTGGGAGAGTATAACAAGGTAATTTGGTGTTATCAACTGAGTTGATATGTTAATTGGCCACAGTAAAGGGTTTCAAAACTGATGTTTCAAGCTTTAGCCTTTTGCAAGAGCTGTGACAAAGGGCTATCACTCAAAATGTCAGCTTTGAAAGTCTTTATGGTGGCTAATTTTCATAATCAGTGCAGTTTACAATACCAAAATACCCTATTTTTGTATTCTTAATCTATAGCTCTATGGAAATTTATGCATGTATGGTCTAAATTGATTATTACATTCTCTAGACCTGATGGGCAGAAGAAAGCGTATGTTAGACTGGCTCCAGATTATGATGCTTTGGATGTGGCCAACAAGGTATGTGAAAGAATGAATCATACAATTACTTTTGAAAAGATTCTATGATCGCTGAAGAATTTTCCCAATTCTGAGGTTTTGTAATATCATTTTTATTATTGTTTTGCAGATTGGGATCATCTAAGCTTGTTAAGAAGACAAACAATAAAATTTGATTGTTATTTAAACTCAAGCGTGTTTTTTGTGTTTTGCTATATCTTGCCTTTTGCTTTATGAATTTTGTTTCTGTTTGTTTCCTTTCAAAATGACAGATTTTCTTACAAGAGAGTTCTAGTAGGTTCAAATCTCTTTTTGTATCAGAAGTTTCTGTTTACCTCAACCAACAATCATGAAATGCCTTCATGCTGAAAACAGGTCTGTTATGTACTGAAAAACATAAAAAAACACCATGGCACTGATCATATTTTTGTCATACTTACAAATTATTTTGTCTCATTTTTCTGTCACTTGCTTCTTCTCATACAGACACTAATTGGCATTTGGAAATCAGTGACAGGAGTTTCAATAAATTTTCCATAAGCAGCTGCCAATGATGCAATAGGTGGCTGTGCTGGCAAAAAGGGGTTTAAGACAAAACCCAAACAGGAGATTGTGCGTGGGGTAAATTGAAGGCAGTAAGGGGTCTTAAAGGCAGGGGTAACCAGTATTTAACCCTTGACTCTTGATGTCTGATTATCAATCCTCCCCTTTAGCTGCTACGCATTTCCTTGTAACTTCTTGTAAGTCACAAGAATTTGGTGTTAGATCAAGATAACAACTTCTACCCAATAAGTTTGAGTATTCACATTACATGCTTGCTGGATAATGTGTGGATATATTAGGGAGAAGTTACTTGTGAATCATTTCTGGGAGTTAAAGGGTTAATGAAACCTGTGCAATTACCAGGCAAAATTCCTGTTGGACCATTTCAGCTTTTAAGATAGCATTCATAACTTTCCTTGCTGTTTTGATATGGTAAGGAGAAAATATGTCTTGATCACTACTGGGAGTTAAACAGCAGAGCCTATTTTCAACTGGGGGAGCTTGAAAACCAGCCATATCTTAAGGGAGTCTGGGGGCCATCTCTCCACAGAGATTTTTTAAATGGTATTTTCAACAGCAGCTACTTGTACTTCACCTGCAGAGCTAGTCATGTAACAGATTTCTGTCTGTTGTGGTGATGAATAACGTCAAAGCTTGGAGAACTGCATCAGATACCATTTCATGCTGTCTGGAGTTAAACACCTGCCTTTGAAGCCAAATTCTAGTGGGTAGATGACTGAGGAAACTTGGGGGTATCTGTTGGGCTTACACATTTCTAGGGTTCCTATACATGAAAAACCTAACAATTTGCCACATTCAAGTCTTGCAAAATTAAGGAAAATTAAATTTTACAAGAAAAATTTGAGAAAAATGCCAACCTAGCATGATTTTTTTCCCCCATCATTTTAGAAGCATCTTGATTGTGGGTCATGGAAACTGATAAATACTGAATTTCCTTGGAAGAGCCCTTAGGTGCTAATTTAAAATTTTGGCTAAAAACAGAGGGTGCCTATGCAAGAGGGGGGGGGTCATTACTATTATCAGTTATCAGTGATTATTAGAACAATTTTAATAAAGTGACGATAGAAACAGGTTTTCCTTGTATATCTACTATCTAAGAAAGTGAGGGAGGAGGGGGGGGAAGCACCTATTCATGATGGGTGTTTGTTCAACACGGTGGCTGATGGGGTGGATGCCTATCTGGGCACTTATTTGAGGAAATAAAGCAGGTCCTGAAAATGGTCATGGAAATTTATGAGTTTGAAAGATCGCCAACCCTTTCTTTCAGAATGAATTCTCTGTCCATTTAACAAATGTAGGGTATTTTATTGCATTAATTTTATGAATTTTAGAATCCTGCCTACAACCCATTTGGTGTGTCAGGATCAGTTGATGATGGTACAGTGTTAGAGTAAAATGGTCTCATGGTAAGAAACATAACCTATTCAGTTACCAAGAGCCTGACACCTGGAACAGGCTTCAGTATACAGTTAAAATTAAAGTTCTAGAGTTTGTTTCTGAAAACCATTTTATTACCTTGAAATATCAAAGGCCTAATTTTAGGCCACAGCTTACATTTGAACATAAGTTGTTTGGTAAGTATTACAGTAATAGCTACTTTTTTTTGTCCTACTTGCTCAGAAAATATTACAATCTGGTATTACACAATACAAGAACAACTAAATACTCTTTGAAACATGTAGCATATGGCCTTAAAATCTTTCTATATTACAGTCACAATGACAGGTTCATGGTTTAGCTTTTTCCTCACTTAAAAAAAAAAAATGAATCTTAAAGAAAAAGTCCATTAAAACTTATCTTGCCTTTAAACCTGCACTACGTTGCCTCTGCTAAATGAAGAACACAGGTGCACACAATTTTGCATCACCAGCAAGCTGCAATCACAGAAGCAAAAACTGCATTGTGCAAATTACATGTAGCCTGTAAGACTGTTACCTGCATAATACCAGTCAAATGAAGAAAGGCTGATTTTTGAGAACCACAACAACAAAGTAAAACTACAAAAAACTAGCTACCTGTAACAATACAGAACCATATACAGAAAGGAAGCTTTACTTCTCTTTCTCATTTTACCTAGGCATTGTAACATAGATGAAATTGATCTAGGGACATCTTATGAAAAATGCATATCTCAGTTTCCCATAACAATAATGACAAAGCTTAGATACATTTTCATGGTCCTTAGCATACGCCAAGTTGCATTCCAAGAGGGTCACACTGGAACTATGTTATGTCATTCACCCCACACTGAAACTACTATAATCTGTTTTTAGAAGCAACTCTTTTGTGCAAAGAAAATTAACACAAACTTGGACAGTAATCTGAAAAAGGACAAGATCTTTACAAAGATGTGGCCACCACGACATAAATTCTAAGTTTAGACCTGCATAAAATACAGCATGGTGTACACCGGTATTTAGCTCCTCACACTTAGTACTGTTAAAAAATTTGTAAGTTCTCTGATGAATATAAACAACATGCAACAACAGAATTCCAATTTTTTCTTTTTAAAACAAAACTGACTTTCTTATAATCCATATCTGATTTCCGTTCAAAACTTACAGAACCAGTATTAGAAGCCACGCTTCTCCCTTGCTCACGAATTACCAAAAACAATCTTAGAGTCAGAAGTCAGAAGTTCTAGTCCATACTCTCCATAGCATCGATTTCATTCAACAGTTTCAGCTTCTTTGAATTCCAGAACTCAATGTCCGTGGTCAGTTCGTCAATTAAGCGCAATTTTGTGCTTTCCAATCTCTCAGTCTCTTCGCATTTCTCTATCTGAACTTTCAGCTCTTCTTCCAAAATTTGAATTTTTTGCTGGCTGTCGGTTTCTCTCTCACTAGCAAGCACATCTTCTTGTTCAAGTTTGCGAAGATTTTCTCCAGCAGTACGGATCATGTGTTCCAATTCCTCGACTCGTTTCACTGCCGTATCCTTGCGAATTTCCGAGCGAGACAGTTCGTTTTCGATAACAGTTAGCTTTCTCTGGGCTTCGTTCAACCTCATATGAGCGGTCTCGGCGGCGGACTGGGCTTCTTGCACCTGGTGTTCAAGTTCTCGGAGCTGTTCATCAGTTTCTACTTCGGCATAAGTTAGTTCCCTTCCCTTGACAGCCTCCGCATCTGCTTTATCATTCAGCTCTTTCAGTCTACTTTCCTTTTCGTCTGTCTCGGCCCGCGCGTCTTCGAGTTTCTTTCGCAGAAACTGAATGCGTCTATGATATCCCGCCGCTTCGTCCTCCTTGCTAGCAATCTCTTGAACCTTTGTTTTCAGCTCCGAACATGCATCATGCTCTCTTTCAACAGCTTCTTCTGTCTTTGCCTTAATGGCAATCATTTTGTTTTTTACGTCTTCAAAGAGGGTCGACATTGTTATAGCTAAGTTAATCGCTATGCCTCACAGTTTTTCATTCAATGTAACTCGAAAACACACCCTGTCGAAGGGAGTAAATGCTCAAGAGAGCATGACTGCGCGTAATAACCACTGACAGGTTTGCGGCTTCATTCTGCCCAGTCCGTTTCACCATCTCAACACAAACATGCAAAGTTCGATACAATTCCTTTGCATTACTTAAAATGTTTTTAGTTTAGCGCAATCTCGATTAGCTTACGTTTTATTTGCAAAAACTGAACTGATTAGATAGTTCAACAAATTCCTGAGAGCACGACGCAGGCAGAAGTCTGGTACCAACTTGACAATATACAAATCTGATTGGCTTATCCTGTATAGGAAGCAAAATTCGAATAGGTCATCGATTTCAAGGTTGTTAACTTGTTATGATTTTCCACGATCGACTCTTCTAAACACTGTTCTAAATGGGAAGGAAGAGAAAACTTGGGCAATCTAAGCAAAACTGGGGCTCTACAAATTCACGGAAACAGAGAAAGAAGAGAAAAACTCGCGGAAAAGGATTTAAACAAGCAAAAGTTTCAAATGAAGTCGATTCGTTGCATATCGAGCCATCGACCTCGACGACCTGCAAATTGTCCTTAACTGCTATTCGTGAGAGATCAGAGTCTTCTTGCTGTGCAATCTCTTGTGCTTCGGCTGATGAAAGTATGCAGAGATTGAGGCTCTGGAAAATAGGTCTCATCTTATCTCGCCTGAAAAACTTGGCCTCTTTTTGTCAGCATTTTACCGTAGACTGGTGTTTCAGGTCCATCAGAAGCGTGTACCTTATTTTAAACTGGCTTAAACAAACGTTTGGTTGTGGAATACAAACACTAGGAAAGGTTAGTTGTTTATTTGTTTTGTTTTGCATCAAAAGTGATTCCCTATTGCCTTCATAATTCTACCTATTTCACTGCACCGGTATCGCATGAGGTCATGGGTTCATATTCCGTGCTGGCCTGTGAAATACTGCACATTCCTGTACTAAGCATTTGTCCTAAACTTAACTTTGAGAATATAAACAGATATAGAGAATAATAGCTCATAGCTCAAGGACTTTCAAGGTGGCACTCATTATGACATAAATCATTAATCAAATATGATATTTATCATTCTTGTTCTTAAAATAAGGTTCTGCTAGAAGACAAAGGCTATCCAGTTTTGTTAGACAGGAAAACCCACCTTGATGAAATGGTGAAAAGAATGAATGCCTTGGAGGAGGAAGTCGATCAACTGAAATCAGAACTTGCCAAGGTACATGTTCTAATTAAAAAAAAAAACAACATTTCCTTTGTTACTCTCAAGGCAGATGGCAAATGTGTCATACCCTTGGGCCCAGTTGTATAAAGGGTGGATAACTCTATCCAACAGATAAATTGATATCCAGCAGAGAAGTGATAACAAAACGCACTGCGTTATCCACCAAATAGATTTATCCAATGGATAGTGCTATCCAAGCTTTGAACAACCAGGGTCTGGTCATTAGTTTGCTGAAATGTGTATTGGGTGGTCAGAATGGGTTGATTCTCTCAGGGTTAATTTACCATAAATCACAATACAAACTGAAAAATAAAATGCTATTACATGAAATTATCTGAGATGATGTTCATGAAAATAAAAAGTACTGCCGCTCCATGACTTCATGTACTTGTAAAACAGAGTGTAATTTACAAAAGAGAAAGTAAAGGGAGAATAACAATACAGTCCTCAATCTTCCCTTGCTACTATAATTCTGAAAATCATATTGAATACAAAAATATTTTGATATTTATCATACAATGTAACCTGGATTGCAGCATTTTGGTTGATTGATGGCTTCATCATTGACAAGGTTTTGTTTCATCAGTATGCAAAACAAAAAGATCCCATGTTGCCATGTGTCCATTGACTAATGAATCAGAGAAGATGTCTAAAGGATTAAAGAATGTCAAATGCCAATCTTTTGTTCTTAGCACATTTTGAAATGATCTGCGATCTACTGAACAGACATACTCCATGCAACATGGATCTATTTGTTAACTGGTTATCACTAACAACCAAACAGATACTCTTTGCCTATAAGTAATGTGTACTTTGTTCTTTTCAGAAGTCAACTTGTCCATGTGGGGATCACTGCAACAGATATGTACCAAGAGTTGAATGTGCACCAAACGGTCTTCCTCCACCTCCTCCCCCACCCCCTCCTCCACCTCCTCCTGTTCAACCTCCACCAGCTCCCCCCTTAGCTTTTCTCAAGAATAAACAGGTACAGTATAATGAAAGAAGAAACAAGCAATCAACTTACATGTGTGACTTTGGCCAATGATAACTTACTCACCCATACCTGTAGGGCCTGATGTACAGCAGGTGGTTTATGAACAGTGGATTATTCATTTGTTTATTATACCCATTTCTTCTTTGGTGTGTAATTTTTCACAATTTTTAAGTAACAGAATTAAGGTTTGTGCTCAGGCTAAGTGGTCCACCAAGGCAGAGATTGTCCCAGTTTCCTTAGCATGAAGCAATTAGGAATATTACTACTCCCATACTAATCCATCACCAAGTTTTCCCCCTCCCCCCCTCTCCCTAGGATATCACTAGGCTCCCCTGATGATTTGCCAGTACCCACATATACTCCTGGGTGGAGATAGAGAGGCACTCTGAGGGTAAATTGTTTTGTCCCAGACATTTACATGGCCAGGTCTCAAACCCAGACCTCTTGATCCAGAGTCCATTACATTTACCACTAGGCCACCACATCTATATTTCACAATTGTAAAGGAACAATTAACCCTTTAACTCCCATCAGTGACCAAGACAGAATATCTTACGATATCAATACAATAGCAGTACAATATCAACCACAGAAGTGACAAGAATAAAGAAAAATATCAATTTGGAGATCATTAGTTGATCTAATACTAAATTCTCTTAACTAACATTATAAGAATTGTATGGTTGACAGTAAGGAGAACTAAAAATTTGATCTGGGAGTTGAAGGGTTAAGGAGGCCTGTAATCAATCAAACTTATCACCTGAAGAGGGCTAACAGTAGGTGGCTGAAGTGTTTTAGTCATTCCCCAAAGGATTGTGAGACAATTGCTTTTGTTCTTCACCATGGTGAATAACCATAACCGTTTTTCAAAAGAGTAATAGATGTAATGTATTTTCCTAATTTCAGCCTGTATCCAAAGCCAATATTTCCCAGGAAAATAAAAATACAGTCTCAAGAACCTTAGTGACCTTGGAGGATCTGAAGAAAGTCAAGCTAAAAAAAGTCAAACAGGTCGATGAGGAGGACAAAGAAAACACTGAGTCTGGGCCCAAAAAAACTGGGTCCACGTTGAACAAATTGAATAAACAAAATGATAAGCACTGTTTGGTAACTCTGAGGGATTTAAAGAATGTGAGATTGAAAAGAACCAAGGAAGATGATGGTCTAGAGAAAATAAAATTACGGTAATTTTAACTGTTTGGTAACAGAAAATTATGATTTCATTTTCCAGGCCTGGAAAGTCATGGGATTTAGTTGTGGCTCCTGGAAAGTCTTGGAAAATCAACAGGCTTTCTATAAATGCAAAGCAATGTAGATCCAAAGTTGAAAAACTAACTGACAAGTCAAAAAATAAGATTTTATTTCTGAACCAGTAGAGATAAAAATTAGTGCACATTACAAGATCTACGCTTGCAGAGGCTTTTGTTTACACCACATTCTTAAATGGCAGATCTGTGTGCTATTTGGATTGAACCAATTAGTATACTTTCTTAACTTAAATGTAGGTCATGGAATTTTTTAAAAACTAATAGAAAAGCCATGGAAAGTCATGGAAGTTTCTCAACTCAAAAGTGTACAAACCTTGGATAATGGTAGTACATATAGTACTAGGCTCCATTGTTCAAAACATGATTAAACTAACTGAAAGTTAGCCCCCCCCCCCTTTTATTTATTTAGTTTTATAGCTTTTCAGCAGGCTGGAATTCTTTATGTTTTTGCTTCAAGTTTGTCGTTTGTCTATCAAAATGTAAGCTCTAACATGTGCTTTATTTTAAATCCTGGATTGTCACCAACTCTCTTATGAACAACTGGAAAGTTTCTTGGGAATGTCTATGCAAAGATACTTTCAGGAAAACATTGTTTCTTCAAAATCTTACTTCAAAATAATTCCCTTTAAAGTGTCTTTTAGTCTTGATGCGAAATTATTGCTCATTTCTGACACAGAACTCCTGAAGAAATGGTGGTCATGAAAAGAAATCTACGTAAAGTGAATATTTGTCGTAGTCCAGGTGGAACTCCTGTGGTATCTGAAAAAGTTCTTGAGCATGGAACTGGTCTCACACCGATGATGACAAGAGCACTGAAAAAGAAATTCCAGGTGAGATACATGTGTTTTCATACTTCTTTCCAACCAAGTTCAAGGTCCATATTGTAAGTTACTGACCAAGTTTTTTTTTGTGCTTGGATTCGTGGCCCAAACACCAAGCCCACAAATCAGAGTGGAAAAAACAACACTCTGTAATTTACAGTACAGACTAGTTACACCTCTGGGATCAAATAGAGGGAGAAGATTTCAATTTAAACAAACTTTTGAATTTACTGGCCGGGGCAAACAATGAAATATTGCCCACTAAACTGCCCAATCATAGTGCACATACAAACTGAGAGATGCAATCAAATGTATTTTAACTTGTTGCCAAACTGCTAAACTGACCAATCATAGTGCACAATTACTAACTGAGAGATGCAATCAAATGTACTGTAACTTGTTGCCACGATCCCAAATTCTGGAAAATTTTTGTCTTGCACTCTTGATTTAGATTTTAATAAAAGTTATTTACTGAATAAGGGCAAAGATGACTGGTTTTACATTTCCATGTTTTTGATGGAAAGGATGTCGTGTTTTTGAAGGATTTCTATACTGTCCAGAGATTTGGAACTTGCATATCTTTGGAGTGTTTTTTGTTGTTAGTTTTTTAAATTAAGGTAACAAGAAAGGGGTTAATATTTAGTCTTATTATAAAGATACTGATGAAATTTCATTCACAAAATGGCTTCGAGTTGCAAAGATGGGACAGTTACTGGTGACTTTCTAGATGAGCTGCCAAATTTTCACATCGATACTTTTCCCAAACTTGAAGAACATTCAGGAAGATTTGTGGAAGTCTCAGAAAGTGATGAAAGTCACAGTAGCCAAGAATCCACAACATGATGCTATTTTAAGATATGCTTTTGCTGTTATAGAATTTTTCTCTTCTTCATTAGAATTTTGACTTTTTGGAACAGAAAATATAAGTGTTATTGTCTTTATTTCTCCTTTATGACTTTATATCCCAGTTTCATAATATTTTTGTGACAGGCACTTTGCGATAGGTGACCACTTTAATTGCGCTATTTTGTTGTTTCGAAAATGAATTTAAAAAAAAAAATGGTCTTTTATGTGGGAATTTCATCAGTATCTATAAAATAAACAGAACATTACATGGCCACTTGGGGATAAAAATTTTATCTTCTCATGCTGAAAGTATCTCTCACAAGTGAGCGAAACAAACGAGTGAGATACTTTCAGCGCTAGAAGATAAAATTTGTATCCCCGCACGGCCATGTAATATCCTCTATTTATTATTTATCCACCATGTTACAATTTTCTTTTCATTTTTAGCATGCTCACCCTTATTCTTCACCTGATTCGCCATCAAAGAGACAGGTATTTGAACTGATGAAATGGACCTATCACTAAACACAATTATAAAATGATGGTGCTACATCAATTGTAGCTCAAAGAGTGTTTTTAATCTGTGAAATTTAATAATAATGTCGCTTACTCTAAAGAGTTTTAAGGTACACTAACAGAGTTCTCTGCAGCACATTAACGTCAACTTGTTTTTTGTTATTTTTTTCTAATTTTCTCTCACCACAGACTTGGCTGAAAAGGAGGGACTGTTTGTAGTCTACTAGATAATTTTAAAAACTTTTCCTTTTTTTTTCAGAGTTTGTCTCCCATGACCAGTTCACCAAAGTCGCAGAAAGCTTTATCTCCTTTGTCCTACAGATAAAGTAATTTTTATTAGATTTACTTAAGTTCACATGGTAACCAGGTGGACAATCAGGCAAGGTTTGATGCTACTCTGGTTTAAAGATTTGTTGAATGTAACCACCATCATCAGGGGTGATCAAATTGCTGCAACAAGGTCTTTTTTATATGCTCACTAATTAGCTGCCCTTTTTTCTGACAAGGTTACACCTAATATTGACACCTCAGTAGAAAAAAGGGAAGCTAATTAGTGAGCATATAAAAGGACCTTGTTGTAGCAATTAGATCACCCCTGATGAAGGCACTAAACACTAGAGTAGCATCAAACCATGTCTGATTTTTATTAGCTTTATAAAAGGGGGCTTATTGTTAATATCCTGGGCCCAGTTATTTAAAAGGTAGATAAGTATCTGACAGATAAATCACTATCCATTGGCTAACTGTAAACAAAGCATACTGCACTCATCAATTGATAGAGATTTATTCAGTGGATAGCATTAACCACCTTTTCAACAACCAGGGCCTGGCTGACAATGATCCAAATTTCCTAGTGGTTATAAACAAAGGATGAGTTTTTACCATTAGATGCAGGGATGTAGCTAAAGTTTTTAACAGGCGGGAATCTTGCAATGATAGGCAGGTATTTGGGCTGAAGGCCCACTCTAGCATGCCTTCGGCACACTATACCTAGAATTGAAGGTGTAAACAAATGAAATAAATAAATAACAATCTTCTGACAACATTTAAAAACATTTTGGAGAAAGAAGTAGTGCTTCACAGCCGGAAAAATCACGTTCACAGCCGGGTAATTTTTCTGGCTTCCGGCTATTATCTACATCCCTGAGATGCAGTTAAAATTCACTGATGATTGTTATCATATTTTATGAAATGCTTGCAGATAAATAGTTTTAGACATGTCAGGCTTTTAAAGTTGATAATTTTTGGGGTGTGATGTCAAAGGTGAAGACCAACAGCAAACAAGCCCTGATTTTGTTTTTAAGTTTTATTTTTATCTGATGGTTTTCCATTTTAGAGATGTTCCAAAAATATTTTCTTTTCCTATAAAGAATGGGCTCCTGTGCCAATCTGTTTATGCATTCAAATTAATCCTTGCTAAGCCAATACAAAAACTCTTGGCCATTGTTTCTGTTTGCTTAGTATAGGTTTTGTGTAACAAAATGGAGTTTTAATCCTGAATATGTGACAGCTGTAAAATTAACAATTAAACCTTAACTCCCAAGATCTGATTGTTAATTCTCCCCTCTAGCTGCTACACATTTCCTTTTAAATTAGTTTAGAGAATTTGGTGTTAGATCTAGAAAAACAACCTCTATGTGATAAGTTTTAGTATTCTCATCACCTGTTTGCTGGATGGTGTGTGGATATTATAAGGAGAAGTTACCTTTCAATCTCTTCTGGGAATCGCAGGTAATTTAGTGTTAACAACTGGGTTGAAAACGTAAATTAGCCACCGTAAAGGTGACGTTTCGAGCGTTAGCCCTTCGTCAGAGCGATCAATCGCTCTGACGAAGGGCTAACGCTCGAAACGTCAGCTTTTTTACTCTTTACGGTGGCTAATTTACGTTTTCAACCCAGTTGTTAACACTAAATTACCTGCTATACTCTCCCACCGACGCAGCACCACAGTTTCTTTAGAAACTTACCCCTTTCTTCTGGGAATCAAAGGGTTAAAGGAATTTTAAGAGCACACCTTTAATTAATGGTGGAATGTTTACATACCTCTGTATATATGAATTTGATTAAAAATGTAAAAAGCATATTATCCTGCAGTTCAATAGTGTGATCAGGTGTGTGATTTACCAAGCATCCATGTCTGACAAAAACAGTTCAATGTTCTTAAAATTACCATGGGCCTCACCTAGGACACCCCACCCCCATCCCTCATGGACGTTTAACCATTATTGTGATATGTGCAATTAAAAATGTCTTTAAAATAAATTTACAATGCTAGACATGGTAGCAGGAATTTAGGCAAACCTTAAAGGCATACATCGTAAGTGTCTTCCTATCGGCCCAACAGTTTAGCCTCCTGGGAACGAGGTCCCTCTGCTTCGGTTGGAGAACGGGAACTAATAAGAATTATGGCGGCCGTGACTTGGCATGCTAGGAAACGATGTTTTGAAGTTCTTCAACAACGCAGCCTTCGCTTAATCCAAACAAACGCCTCATTAAAATGCTCAGGAGATTTAAAATGCTCTCATTTGCGAAAGAGAGGACTGTTGAAAGTGAGGGGAAGAGATTCCGTAAAGTTTCTGCAGGGACTCATCACAAACAATGTGGAGTCTTTCCACAAGAATGTAGAACGAAAAGCGATGTACGGTGTGTTTTTGAACGCCAATGGTCGCACATTATACGACACTGTTCTCTATAAACACGATAGAAGTGGCGACGTACCTGCATTCTTTCTTGAGTGTGATGTTAGTGTGATTCCAGACCTTACAAAACATTTAAAGATGTTCAAACTACGCTCGAAAGTCGACATCATTTATGCAGAAGATTACGCGCCATGGGTGATATTTTCAATGTCAGGGACTATTGACCTCAAAGATGTGTCGAGTAACTCGGATATTAAAGTGCTGGTGAAGGATCCTAGAGTTGAGCAGTTAGGATTTCGTGCGGTGTTGCCTAAGGGCTCAAGTCCATGTGTTTGTCTTGAAGATGTCTACGAGACAGGAGATAGCTTTGAATATGACGTACTGAGAGCTAAACTGGGAATTTGCGAGGGAGTGGATGAAATACCACCGGGAAATGCAATGCCCTTGGAATACAACATTGCATATCTTAATGGAGGTATAACTTTCAACTTAGGAACAGGTCATCATTCATTGTCCTGGCAGGTGGAGGATCACATGGTTTTCTTGGGGGATCAGAAGGGGGGAGGAAAGGATCAGTCACCGCCAAAAGAGTTTAGGGGGGAGGGGGACTTTAAAAAAATCAACTGCCAAAAGGGGGGGGGGAAGGATCATAATAATATTATGGAGTCTTCTTAGGGGGATCAGGTAAACTTAATCATGACTCAACCAAAATCTTCCAACCCTAACCATGACCCCCCCCAACCACACTCACACACAACAAATAATATTAATATTATTACTTCATTCTTTTCTTAGTTTCTTTCAATAAAGGCTGTTATCTTGGACAAGAACTTACAGCTAGGACTCATCACACTGGAGTCATTAGGAAGCGAACGGTTCCATTTAAATTTATTGACCCCAAAGCAGATGCAAGCCACTTTGAGTCAGGAGCAAGAGTAAGGACCTCTGATGGGAAAGCAGCTGGCAAGGTTTGCATGATATATGGACAGTATGGGGTGGGGCTGTTGAGACTGGAACTGATAAAGAAGGAAGAGGCACTCCTTATAAAGAATAAAGAGGACAAGGATATGGAAGTTATTGCATCATTGCCACATTGGTGGCCTGAAGATGGTCATAGCTTTGTGTGAAATGCTCTGAGTGATGAAGATGCTGGTAGGAATTTTAATCAGATCTGTTTAGCCAAGAATGATGAGCTGTTACAGAACTTAATTGACTTGCTGTACTTTATCAGAATCTTGTGTCACTAGTGATTAACAAAAGTTACTTTTGTCTGAGTATTTTTGTCATTGCTTTTATGAAAGTCTTTAAGAGGTAGGAACTCTTGAATCATGTAGAAAGTGCTTTTGCACATCAGTGATTCTTTCATGAGCACACCTTTGATTTAGCCACTTCAACTGCAGAACTCAAGGACTTTGGGAAAGGAGTCCGATCTACAATTTTACAAATTTCTCTTTATGTGACAGATTACCACAAGAATAAAACAACTGTTCATTTTAAAGGTGGACAACATTTTCAAACCTGTTGTGATAATCTTGTATGCGTATCACATGACACTTAATTAATTAAGCTAGGGATTTGATGACAGTTGGGTTACTTAAGATTTAAGTGTATAATTGAACTCAGCAGTAATGGCAGACTTGTAGTAAGAATGTTCCTGATATAGAAAATCAATAATAGCCTGAAACAATTAGATAAGGAATTGCCCAGGGAAATTGTGCATGCACATTTGGGTTGGAACATCCTGTGACATTGTGTGATGGGTGTAAGCTGTTAAAATCAAGTTGACAGGAAATAGCTTGGGATTTAGTAAATTCTTGAATAAGTAATATCAATCTTGGATTTACATAGTTTAGGCATGTGTTTTCATTGTAATAGGAGATAAATAGAATTGTTATCTCGTAACAGAAGAGACTTGAGATCATTTGAATGTAGAAAGTTTGGATATTGTATGGATTGTAAATAACTCAAGAAATCGGAAAGATAAGTCCTATTGATTGTTGAACCAGCGCTCTGCAGAGATTTTCCTTAACGCAATGGAGAATTCTGCAACAAAACTGGAGCTGCTGTGCTTGTCAGATAAGTACCTTTGAAACTCCTCCCCAGTTCCTGTATTCATCGGTTGCATTTGTATCAGGAGGTGCATAGGGCTGCATCACCCCTATCTTTCATATTGTGTATTGGGAAACAAACTGAAAATAATGCAAGTATAACCTGTTCTTTCCCAAGATCTAATCAGTAATTCTCCTTACTGTCTGTCATACAACTCTCTTGATGTTAATTTAGAGAATTTGGTATTGGATCAACCAATATTTCCCTTGTTGATATTTTTCTTTATTCTCATCACTTATCTGCTTGATACTGTATTGATGCTGTAAGGAGAAATTCGATCTTGGTCACTTATGGGAGTTAGAGGGATTCTTAAAATATCATTTTCAGGGTGTGAAATTGCTCCTAATACAGGCGCCAATGCGACTACATTTTTCACTTTGGCGACCAAATTCTGAAAATGAGTCGCCAAATTGGCAACTGGAATGTTTCATCATAACCTTACCAAGAGATATAGTGAATTAAAAATATTTGCAAAGGCAAATTCACGGCAAACTTCCTTGTTATGTTTGTTTCAAAAATGCAGCAGATGCATCTTGATCGATGACTAGATGCCATCATGGATTTAGGTGAGCTTGAAAGTTGTATATCATCCATCCTAGTGTCCACTTGCTGACAGCGTAAAAAAAGTTTTGTTTGTCTAATTATTGACTATACTTTGTACTTAGATAATTATTGATGATTCTTTTGAACTCTTATCTGACAGTTTGATTCACCTATTTAGGCACTAGAAGGGGGAGGATGTTGGAATGGAATGTCGGTAAGAATCACTTTACTATCTCTATTTCTATGGTTGCTGGAAACAAAGTACACCATGGAAGTAAAAAGCTTCAATTAGATCAATCATTCTTAAAAATCAAAGAACACTGTAAAATTATTTGAAATTTATCATTAGACTAAGTACTGGTAACAAAGTAAGCAAAGTGCACTGTGTTAAACTAACCATTGGTTAGGTTTCAAAGAATTTGGGGCATGCCAAGCACTTTTTATAAGCATTTAACAGATCTTTCACATTTTTTACAATACAAATATTTGTTTCACTTCAATCCCTTGTTAGAAATATTTCTTAACTCAATATAGCTCAACCACTGAAGAGTACTCTTAAACAATCACACACAACAAATTTGAAGTCATGCCATTTTAACAGCTAATTTGTTGTTAATGACAATGAGTTTTAATGCTCTAAGAACCTGAAAAATAATAAAAGGCACATTAGCTAATGGAAAGAAGCACAACTTGAACAAGCTGAAAGCAGTCTATTTTGCTTACACAGTAATCTAGTGTATAATCTCTCTTTGCCAGTAAGCTAAATTCTGGAGCATTACAATATTACTTAATAAGTGTTATTCCAATTTCAAGGATTAAATTAAACAGAAATGCACTGACACATAACTATAGGTTGCTCTCAACATGTGCAGAAAATAAAATTAAAAAGTAGCTATGGCAACTTGTGCATAAAGTACTTTACCACAGATGAAACATGGTTGTGAACTTGTAATTATTGGTCTCGCAACAATGCAAGGTTATTCTGATTTCAAGAGCCAACTCAGCAGAAAAATGAATTGATATGAAATTTACAAAAACTGCTCAAAATAGTATCCTGCATTTATTGAATTTCCTTTGGCAAAATTTCTCAAATTTAGATGCTGCAATTCAAATATTTCTTTGCCCACACAAGCCAAATTCCTTGATTTCCCATTTCCTACTTCACATTTCACCTCATTGATGTTCACTTAATATTTGCTATGTAACACAATGATCTTTGTTTACAGGGTTTTGTCCAGTTTGCATCTGATAACAAATCTGAAAGTTTTCTGCCTCAGAATGAAAATTCCTCCAATCACATTTCATGCGACTACAAGTTTTTTTGACAGATTGAAGCTAAAGATATGCAGCAACAAATTCCACAATTTTTGTTTTGTCAGAAAAGCCCTGGATTATTTTCATCTGTGTAATGAATGCCCATGCATATTATCAAATACCACCATTAGACTCTGACTATTCATGGTATGTATCACCTCTGTGTTAATTACAACCATGTGCATTAAGGTTGATCAACTATTGCATTAAAACAGTTAATGGTTTCTGCTTGTTATAATGTGAATGTCTGTCTACTAAACCATTCATTTCAATCTGCTTCAGATCAGTTGAGGCGATTCACAGTATTAGATCTGTGTCTGAACTTGATAAATTCTTCACTTGGAAGGTGATATTTAAAGCAACGATGCTTGGTACAAACTGTAACAAAGCCTCTCTATAGCCTTATGTACAGTTACAACTCTACTATGGTTTTGTGCTTTGGCTAGTTCAGGACAACTAAGTACCACAAAGTCTACATCTTTGTGAGTGAGGGAGGGACTCATTTGCATATCTGATTCTTCATAAAGACTTGTTTGCAGGTGTTTAAAAAAAACTCTGTGCAGGATTGATGAAGTGTAGATGCTCAAGATGAGTTCTAAGTAAATCATTACAATTACCTTCAACTTAGCTTCTCCAGTTGCTCCAGTAACCTTAAGTCCCATTTTTGTCATGTCCTTGGGAGTTAGACTTGAGCTATTATTAACAAAAATACAGTTACCCCTACATGTATATCATAACATTTGTCTAAATTAATAAATCTCTGACTCTGCTGTTAATCAAAACTATAATAAAATTCTCAAGTGTGATTGGTGATCACCAGCCTGACTTTAGCACTAATGAGACAGTGTATGCATCATGCATGTCATTGGGCAATGTAATAGGACAGTTGACCCTTAAACTCCCACGTGTGACCAAGCCAGAATTTCTCCTTACAACATCAATACAATATCAAGCAGACAAGTGATGAGGATGAAGAAAAATACTATTTGGGGGAGTATTAGTTGATCCAATACCAAATTCTTGAAACCAACATATCGCAGACAGTAATGAGAATTACTAGTGAGTTGAAGGGTGAAAGGGACAGTTAACACATCATGCCTGCACGGGTGGACAGAAAAAGTCATGTGCACATGCTGTTGTATTGCATTTTGCCGAGTTAACTGTTGCTTTTTACTTATGAAAAGGTATAACCAATGGCTAGTTTCTTTCTCAAATTTTGTCATACTTTTGATTAATTGGTAACAGGACTAAGTTATCCAATTCTGTCTGTAGTCATACTTGTGATTAACAAGTCTGACTCCTTTACTGTCGTCTAATTTTTTTAATCACCTGTATGATTACAGACCAAATTAGACTCCATTTGGTCTTAATACCATTAATTATTGCCTAAGAGTGTGATTGAACTAATATTATCACTGTTAGGAATTATCCACATACCTGTGTTTGTTTTTCTTAAAATGATGAAACAGAACCTCATAAACCTAGCAAAATTATCAAGTTAGTTGGCATCCACTTGAAACCAGGACAAAGTGTGGACCACTTTTCTGTAACAATTATTAACCACACTCATAGTATGGTACAAAGAACTCATTTTCAAGCCAGGCCATATATTAGGACCACATGAGACAAGTCCCTTGCATGCTATGAACATCTGAAGTGTTGAGAGTGTTCTTTGAGACAGTGAGGAAGATAGTAAATTTTGATTTGTTGTCAAGTATAGGTAGTTCTAAGAGATTTTTCATCAGCTTGGGATATAGAAAAACTCAGATTCCCCTGTTAGGATTTTCACCTTTTTGTGGGGACTTTATGTGGAGGTGTGATCAATAAGTGATTGTTATGGACAAGACACACATAAAAATGATAGAATATTACTAACAGCACAAATTATCACTTCAAAATTATAATTTTGCATGGTCTCTTTTTCATCATACCTTGTTGACATCCTGAAGTTTTGCCCGCCCTCTCACAAGCTCTGAGACTGTTAAAAATTCTCTCTCATCAACAGGAATGAACTCATGTTTCCCTCTAATAACAGGTTTTGTATCAGACTCTACAATGAAATAGTTAACCTTTAGTAAATTTTCAAAACAGTTTCTGTTAAAAGCTAGCCAAGTAAAATTGTAATCTCACTCAACAAAATTGAAGGACAAAATGGCATCTTGCATCAATTTCAAATTTCAAGGAAAGGTTTCTCCAGAAGCTGAGTGTTTCTGGTGCTGTGGAAATAATTACCATGAGTATGTACAGTCCTAAGTTTTACAATTAATCATGAGACCAACTATAATTCCAAGAGATTGCCCATAGCTTAGAACAGAATCTTGCTACTATAGCATTGTTTTGGGCTTTAAAGTAATGTTACTGTATGACAAATAAGTAATCAAAACAGCCTTTAAAATTGCTGAAAATAATGATTACAAATTTCATAATGGTCATTTAAAGAAGGAAGTAAAAAAATTCACATATTTCAGTTTTTGTTAATAACTTTCTAAGAAAAAAAGTACATTATTATCAGATAAATTTTCTCAGGAAATTATGCAAACCCACACAGCATATTGGAACATCATACATTATACACCTTGCATTACTTGCTTAGAAATACAGTTGTAGATATGTCACCTTGCTGGGTTTTGTTCTCTGTGCCTTCAGTTTTATTTTCTTTGTCTTCTTCATCAGTACTCAGCTCAGAACTAGCAGTCTCTTTATAAGGTAAATTAACAGCCAATCAGTTGTGTAAATTATTTCTCAACTACTGAAAAAAATTGGTATCAAAAAGCTACATGCAGTACACTCCCAATAACTTGAAACCCTGCCAACTTAAACTTCAGGCCCACTTGAACCAAAGTGCATTTCTCTATATTTCCCTAACACATGCAATTACAGAAATTTCACCCTTGGCAAATGAAATCAAACCTCCCACTTACTTGTTGTGCCTAGACAGTTTTACACTCTACATCTTGACCATATTTATCAGTTCATGAAAAGTAATACAAATGGTACTGTAGTTCACAATACTACAACCATAGCAAAGTCACAATCAAATGCTTTGCCTTTTTTTTTCTGCGTTGCCACATGAAGTAATTCCTAGTCATTAAGTCCTGACAAACCTTTTCTGATTACAGAAGGTACTGATGTTTGTAGATACTGCTCATCATCACTTTTTTCCATGACCTTTTGAGTAAACAGACACATTTTTTTGCAAAAAGCACACCACACAACACTGTAACATTATTAAGAATAAATATTCAGGTAAATGAGATTCAAAACTCACTAGGGGGATGGATGCATGTGCATTAAATGTATTTTGCAAGTATCGGCAAAAAAGTCAATCCATTGCAAAAATAATTATACTCCAAATAAATAATTTTTTCCACTACACAGACTTTTCCCCCTGTTTTTCAAACAATTAAAATCACTTTCTGCTCAATAAATCTTTTTCCAGTGGATAGTGTAGTACATTTGTCAATACTTGTCACCGTACAGCAATTTGTCCATTGCATAGCATTACCAGAGTATACAACCTTCAAACAACTGGATGATGTATAGTGCTTGTGCATCCAATTTGATGGGGAATCAGTTTGTAATTGAAATAGCTGGATGTCTTACCAACATATCCTAAATTTTAAATTGTTGATACTTTTGCTCAGATAATTAATGAAATCTTTGAATATGGAAGCAAAAGGTCAATTCTAAAACAATGATTTGCAGTTCATTTTGAGAAACAATCCAGGATAAAAATATCTGTTCTCCTAGCAAATATCCAAGGTTATTTTTGTTGCTACGAGAAACAAAATGAAGTAGAAACTATCCAAATCACAATAGGGGATAACCTGGCATCTCTAGAGGATAAGTGTTAATTCTTTACCCCTTTGAGAAATAAGCATCTAACTTTTCCCACCAATATCACAGCTGAGTTAAACATCAAGAACATGAGAATAAAGGAAATTGCTGTGAACTAAAAAACCTTGATTGTTACACAAATTCTCCTTGTCAGTACTGTAGCAAATGTATAGAAAACAGGAAAGAGAATATGCATACTGATTTTAGGGTGTGAAGGGTTGTTACATCAAATCCCTTTTTACTATGCAAACATGGATAAGTTCTAGCTGGATGAGTTGCTGGGCTCAATTGCTAACTTTACTATCAGTAGCATCCATATGTGGGAAAGGGGGTAAGTTTTTAAAAAAATGTGGTGCTGCAGTAGTGGGAGAGGATGATAGGGTAATTTTGTACTATCAACTGAGTTGATAATGTAAATTGGCCACTGTAAAGTTTCAAAGCTGATGTTTGGAGCATTGGCCCTTTGTCAGCTTTGAAACTCTTTGTAGTGTCCAATTTATGTTATCAACTCAGTTGATGATACTAAATTACCCAAAAAATGAGGAACATGTTCATGAACCTACCTCAAGGCCTGCACATTTTTGTGAATGACGCAGAAGATCCTGACATGCTAACATTTGGTCCCTTACACAAGCTTGTATTTCCTGTTTTTTTGCAAAGTAAAACACTAAAATTGAGAAGAGCACTCATTAAAAGATTTTCTTTGTTCTCCCAAAAAATTTATTTATGACAATGTCTTTAGATATATCTGTTACTGCTAACAAAGAGGCAATGCTGACAAAGGATAAATTCAGTGAAGGTTTACATGATTTCTTGGATGTACTGTAAATAATCATAATATACAAACCAAAAGGTGCGTTCCAGCAAACATGCCTACAAATAAGATTTTATACTTGGTTCTGGTTTCACTCACCTGTTGTCGAGAATGAATCACTCTTGCTTGTTCTGCAAGATTTTTAAATTGCACTTTAGCTTGGTTCATTCTTTGTAGGAGCTTTATGGGGTTGAGCTGAATGTTCAGAAGCAAAAATGATCTCTGTGTTAACATCAGTTGTCATTTGCATATTGATCAAACTTTGTTGAGGTTTTGCTCTAAAATTTTATTTTGAACAAAATATGGTATGGTTTCAATGGAATACATTCTACTGTCATGAGACAAGTTGAAAGATCTTAGGGGCAAGTTTTTCAATAGGCAGCTGTTAAGTTCCCCCCCCCCCCTGCCAAAGGTGGCGGGGGAGGGGGGGGAACTTGCAAAGGGAGGAAACTTGCAGCTACTGCATACACAGGCAATGAATCATCAACAATACTATCAGTCTTGCTCAAACTAGCAAAAGGATTTTAAAAAAATATGAGGTGACATTAATAAGAAAAATATAAGCAAATAATTACATAATGAATTTATAAATGAACCTGCTCTTGGCCATTGTCTGAAAATTGCTGCGAAAATTCAGTTTCCAGTCGGAGGGAGATGTAGTTGAGGTCTGACTCCGCCTTCTGAAACTGGTTACAAAAGAAGAAATTTGACAAGTGTAATTTTATGGTATGGGTTGGATGAGCACTTTCACTTTGAGCTCACCCAGAATTTTTTTTGGGTTTTTTATTTTTTTTTTTGCACAGTAAATGCAAAAAATTCAAATGCAGAAAGTACTCCAACCCTGTTAATATGCACTAATCCCCTCGTATAAGTAGATAACTGTTCACGTTATGTACCGATCGGCTACCCAACACCAATTATGAATAAAAAAACATCTTTTGGCTTACAGCTCAAATTTACGTATTGCAATTATTTCTTTACTCATGGTCTTCCCAAAATACTCGGCTACGACTCTACGGTTTTTACCACCCAAGATGGCCTCCAAATTATGATATTATCGCACCAGTGAGGTCTGTCGTAAAAAAAACCCGTTTATCATCATGATTATATGAAAAATTGGACTGAAACTGTCCATTTGGACGCTTGTCTCGATAACTGATTTTTTCTTGACTGGAGCAACACATAAACCACACTTTTTCAAGGGTCTTTCAACTGCCGACAGGTTTAGAATCTGTTTTCCCCATTCTCGATTTTCGTATTTGGCGCCAAAATTTGCCAAAAAAACTAAGTTCATAGAATGCACTTCATCTACCATGAAGCTAATAGTGAGCAAAATGACAGTAAAATTCCCTTGAATTTTTGAATAAAGGTACCAACGAATCTAACAGAGGCTCAAAAAGGTGATTAAATTTACCAAAGCTTCCAGCTTGTCCACTGCCGGTTCCATGGTTCACGAATTTTTGAAGAAATTAGGGTATGTAAGACACACAAACAGTATCACAGAAGCCCCGAAAAAAAGAATAGGTCCGCATCACGTACCGATAAAGCTCTGAATGGCGGGCGCACTTTTGGTTCACTACAAGTGTCATCATTTTCATTTATTTGCCTCTTTTCAGCAATAATGATAAATAAATTGGCAGTATCATAACTAAAAGTCGTGGAGACTGTCAGAAACCACCGGGTTTATAGGAAAGGCCACCTCACTTACAACAATATATTTGGAAAACAAGTGCGGCGAGTCTGCGGCCTAGCCAATTCAATGATTTTTTTCAATAAAAAAATCTGGAATTTTCGACTTTCAACAATGCAAATGTTTCTAACCCTATCATTCCATTTATCGAGATAAGAAAATCTTCAATAGCGAACATTACTTCCTTTAAGTTGTATCACATATTGTTATTGTCTGAAAAGCATACTATTCTGCCATCGAATAGTATTATTAGCCCGTCATTCCGTGGCATTTAGGAGTTTTTAACAAGTATTCCACGCGTTCTGTAGCCTTTTTTTGGCGTGAAGAATGGAGAGAAATATGACCAGTCTCACTGGTAATCGCTGGTGTTCACCAAACATAAGTGTGAACTTGAGTACTCTTGGACACAAACAAATCCTCTTTGTCAAGGGGTTTTGTCCTCACGCACCCGTAATAAGTAAGCTTAAGTAAGTGAAACAATTTCAGGTACGCCAATGTCAGGAAGGCTACTTATGAAAATCTTTTTAGCCAGAAGCTTAAGTTGAAGTGCCTGACAAAATTAATCATGAGCCAAGGCTGTACAAAGAATGTAACAGCCAGCCAGAGACTCTACTAGAAATATTAACGGATCAGTAACTTTTCAGCATACGTTTCAACGGACAAAACAAACTACTCCTTCCCCCTAGTTCGACGAAGCCAATATGGCGTGTTTAAATGTTTGTGCGTCTGAATGTTAGCCTTGTTTTGGAGGAGGATGGAACGGGGGGAGGGGTGGGGTGAGTCCGTCACATTATTAATTCTTTTAAATTTCGTTCTCACAGTCATGTGAAAGATTGGAACAGGAGAACATCTTTCATCTGACAAGCGTAAACAATTGAGGCTATACCTTTTTTTAGTTCATAAGAGTTTTTTACCCTTACCTTGACCCAAGGGACTCATCCAACTTGATGACAAATCAGTCTTTGATCAACAGTGAAAGTATTTCAAGGGGCTAGCCTGCCATACTGCCCTCTTTGTAAAGAGAAGTTTCAATTCATCGAAATAAAAAACCGAAAGGCCAGTAAAAAAAAAAAAAAGAAAAGAAAAACGCTATTAACGCAGGGCATACCCACTTTAGTAAAAACCTTCCTTAATCCATGTCTCCCGTCTCTAATCAATAAATCAAACAGTCAACTTATCGAATTCAGTGAATTTATTTAAGTCGTGTGGGTTGTCTGTCATCTTGCGACTGAGTTAAGCGGATTGTGCGCTCAAGGTTCAGCTTTCGCGGTCTTGAAATCTCGTTTTATTTTAAGTGTGTTCCCATCACCTACTTTTCAAGCTAAATAAAATCTGTTCAAAAGAGCAGCTTATGGGCAAAAGAAATGTTCAACCAGATTCTCTTCTCGCCACTCGCCACAGTGCCGTGCTTATGTAAACTTATTTAATTATTTACATCTAGAGAGTGTTACAAAATATACACACTTGAGTGAGCAGTACTTTTTTTTCTCATTAAAAAGGCACTATAAAAGTTCTTTTCATATTATTTTCTTCTATTTACCTTAAATTTCTTTCCTCCGAAATAGAAGCCAGAGGAAAGTAGTGTTACCCTTTAACTCTCAGAAGTGATTAACATATAATTTCTCCCTATAATATCCATACATTATCCAGCAAACAAGTAATGAGAAGCTTCAAACTTATCAGGTTTAAGTTTTTATCTTTATCTGACACCAAATTCCTGTAAATTAATTACAAGGAACTGTGTAGCAGCCAAGAGGGGAGAATTAACAATCTTGGGAGTTAAAGGGTTAAAGAGCAACGTAATAATTTTCTTCCATATATATACGAAAAAAAACAACTTAACTTTACAAATAAATAGCTGTACAGAAGCGCGATTATAAATCAAGTGTCGAACGAAATCAGGGATTTCTTGAGGTAACTTTGCTTCGTTCTGTGATTGGTCAAGAAATATCGTATCACTTTCTCCACCAATCAGACGCTACGTAACACCATTAGTCATGTGATGACACGTGATATCCAACACTCCTGGCACATGAGTTCACATGGGCTCCTTGTGGCGCAGTATTTTCCTTTTTTCTGAGACTGGCCTTAGTGGTTCCTCTGTTTTCGGTCTGACGACACATTTCAATCGAAATGCGCTCTAAAGCAGGGAGGGGATGATCACCCTACGCCATACAAAGGGTTGTGCCGAACATCGCATGGAATAACAAAGCTGCTAAATCGTCTTGAAGAGTCCGTGTCTCAGTAAACGTCTTCTCTGACGACGCGGAGAGCTTTGCGTGCCGTTACTTTTTCTTGGCAACAATATAGAGAGGAGACGATCTAAGTTTATCTGTGGCCTTGGTCTTCTTTTCTCTTTCACGCATTCGTGATCCTCACAGATAAGTCGTGCTTCGTCGCATGGACAATCGGTGTCAACTTCACAAAAATTCTTGTAGATACGGTGGCACTGAAAAATAATTGGTTCTGTTTAGTATACAACAAATCACCAAGGAAGTCGTTTATTTTAAGAAATTTCCTGTCAACTAAAGTACTCTAATGCCCTCTCGCAAGTCAACCCAATCCCCAAGGACCTCCTCTTAATAATTCTAGAAAGATCGTCGGAAGTTGTTCTCAAACTGAGGGCGGTTTATTTATAACATAACCTTAGAATGAGATGACAGCTGGAGAATGGGAAAGTCGAGAATAAGCTTTTCATCATAATCTTTGGAAATTACATAATATTTCTATGAATTCGGACTCTGTTCTATCACCGCAGATTCCTTTCACGGTATCAGAAAGATCTTTCAGTGTTGTAAAGTTATCGTTGAAACAGTTAACCAATGCAACTTACTGGCTGCATCCTCTGGAGTGTGTCCCTAAATTCTTGCTTCTCGCATCGAAATCGGGTATTACATATCAAGGAACTTTTGTTGTGACGGTTAAGACATGCGCAATCGCTGTCTTCACTACAATTGCGACCGCGAATTTTGCCACACTGAAAAACAAAAGGGAAAGAACATCGATCACAAACAGCACAGATTGGTATCTCTAAAATCCCCCGTAACGTTTGAACTCATGACCCTCAGAGGAGGGCAATTTTGTATTTTACGCCGACTGAAATACGGCTTAATAATAAAAGTTAAGTTGACGAGCACAGATCCGTGTGATGTGATATGTCGTCAACTCAAAAGTCCCAAGCTGTGTGCACGAATATTTCAACAATTGGAAGGCTAAGACGTGGAAACCCGAGTAATATGTTAAAATAATTCAAAACCCCTGAACCCGAGGAATCTTTAGAGGACGATAAAACGTTTTCATCACTTGGACGCAACGAGAAATGCTGCCAAAAATTCCTCATAAAAAAAGGAGCGAGAACTTGAAGACTGCTACACTTACGAGCACATAGTCTGGAAAACGTTAAGATGAAAAGGCGTTATTATCCTTCCCTCAACCGCTGGGCTGATGAAACAACGAAGTAGCCAAGGAAAGGGGGAAGGTCTAATGATGTATCTTACCCCTCTCCCCCTGGTATGTCTAAATCTCAGTATGCTCTTAAACTCCAGTGGGTCGCTAAAGTAGCACCCCATCCTTCCTTCCCCCCCCCCCTTCCGCCCCTCGCGTCAAAAAATCTTGTCCAATTCACTGCATGCTGCGTGATTAATTACAGACGGATAAGAGCTTTCATCATTATGTCATGGAGAAGGAATCCTTAATCCTTTCAAGAGCCTAGCATTATAACATATAGGTCATACACGTGTCGACAAAAACTTGCACACGCCAGAAAGAGATGGAAATGGTAAAAATTGTGTAATGAAAACGTCATCGGAATGTACAAGAACGAAGACATGAGTTACATAACAAAACTCTCTCATGTGACGAAAAACGCTTGGTAGAAACAAACAAACAGAAATACCAAAGAAAAATAATGGAAAAAAAAAACGTGGGGATAAGGCTTTCTTTCGATAATTCAGTGATGCAGAACTAAAAAGGAAGATTACGATTGCTCAATATTTCAAGTACGGTCCCCCACAGGTTTTCTGCCAAAGTAATAACTAAAACTACAGTTTTTCTAGGAATATACGATACGCTTCAGAGTCATTTTTTTGTACATAAGGTGCTTGCTGTTTAAATAAGACACATTACCCAACTCAGCCCTTGAGGAAGTAGAGAGTAAATACAAGGAGCTGGACGGAAAGCAGAACAGGAAAAAACAAAACTTACTTTTGGAGGACTTGGTGCGGCTTCAGTCCAAGCTAAGAACGCAAACACAACAAAGAAAATATTCATCGTCTTTACTGTAGCGCACTTTTGAGGCAACCTTGAACCAAAGAAAACAGAAGAGAATTAAGAACAGAGAATGGGTCAGTTTACCAAGACTTGTTAAGGCGATGACTACAATTTTCGAGGATGGTTGTTGAATGACGCGTTTTAACAGATCACAAGCTGAATGATCCTTTGAAAAAATACCCCTTTGCCTTAAGGTTAATGTTAAGTAACATAAATGGGATTATTACGGTAATATTCGGCAAATCTGCTATCATAATTAAGAGCGCACTGTTGTTTCTTGGACTCAATAGTCTACAGGTGTCAAAAGGCAGACCATTTTATCACGAACGCGCAAAAGATTGCTAATTTTTTACTGAAAAACTCAATTGTTTACGTTTTTAACATGAGCTGTAAAATATCGGCTCACAAGCATCGTCTTAACTTGCAAATTAGTGAAGAACAACGAGAAAATTTCCACAGATAAAGGAGATTCCCTTTTTTTATCTTTCAACATTAAGTAATTTGACTGCACTTTCTTCTGCGCAAAAGCATCTTAAGTAGTCTAAATTTCATCATAAGAGGAGCATGGAACGTGAAATATTCGACAAACAAAGAACGTTTTTTACGAGGAAGATCAGTCACTAGAGTAAATAAAGGATCATAAAAAAGACTATGAACATCCAAGCCACCGCCCTCGAATTTAAGACAAAATGTCACGGAACATAAACACTGATTTTACATGCTTTTTTACATTTCGCGTAAAATTGTTGCTGGAAACGATGGACTGGATAAAAGGATACATAACGAACACAGTAGCAGGGTGAGAATTGAATCTCAACAGACTGGTTAAGACTGCACCACGAAAGAAAACTTAACAGGAAAAAGATACCCATACTCTCGCGTACTTTTCCGGCTCCGATCGCATTGAATAAATCTAACAAAAAAGTAAAAACCATTTCCTTTTCACAACAAAAGAAAATATTTTCAAATTTATCCTTCCTTGGCTGAAAAACAGACAACAAAAGCTCAACTTTTGCCATTTGTCACAAGCGTAAACATGATTTTTTTTCTTATGTCCATAAAATACCTCTCGAAAACTTGGCATACCCAAGACGTTGTTTCCATTGTCCCATGAACTCTTAATCTTTGATAATACGTCTGTACAGGTCCTTCAATAAAAGTGGTGCGAATCTACCCCTTGGAACTTATACATTTTCAAGACATTCGTGACAGTATGGAGAGACGAAGTCGTTGTTAAGAGATATCTTTGTGCGTCACAATATCGGTGAACTATATTTAGGTGTAGGCAAAAGGCGAATAGATCAAATTTTTGACCTGCCGAAGATATAGATTGCCAAATAAAGAGAAGTGTAGAAAATCGAATAACCAGAAATCTTGGGGGAAGAAGCGAAGAAATTCAAGCTCTGACGGGAGAAATCAACACTATGCTTTCTGGGTACTTGTTAGGCATCACTACGATCTGAGAACGATGCCACATGTTGGCAGAGAGGAAATTCTAAGTTTAAACATACTTATGCCTCAATAACGATAATTTATCACGTCATTAGTTAAAGAACTCATATTTAGAGTTAAGAAACACTGAGCTAAAAGTATAAGAAGATGTTAAGCAATACCGAACATTTGCTCCGAGTGCAGGAAAAATGTGAGTTCTTTGTGAAGGCTCCATCTTGAAATCTTCCAACTGTGACGTCGGTTGGTCAGAAAACTAGCTGATAAGCTTATTAATATACTCGGTTAATACGGAACAAGCATGCTGCGTTGTACCAACAAAAGCAATTCCGAAAGCCTATCGTAAGAAGAGAGAGTGAGATGGTGGGATTTGAGTTCGGAGGATAGACCTGTTTGTAAGCGGTTGGATGTGGTTGGAAATGCGTAAAACTTGAGGGGAAACATCACGTTTATACCATTTTCCTAACAGTCTAGTCACGGGAATTCAGAGACATGCAATAAAAACTGTTAGAGGAAGGCGGAAGATTGCAGAAAGGAGAGGAACATCCGTTCTTGTTGTTTGAAATGACGCAATGGCAAACCACACTAACTCAAAACAATTGATTGTGAATTTTCCGTTTTCTCGCCTACGCCAGCTGTTTACAACAATTCTGTACTATTTCCAATACCTAGAGCTGCTACTTAAGTGACACATTTTTCTTTTGCGGTTGTTTGAGAGAATGCGTTAAGTACTTAAGCAGATGAAACGCTGAGAGGACAGGATGGGCTCGCGTGTGTTACTCATATCCGCCAGGAAAAAAACGCGAGCATAACACGAGTTTTTAAGGTGAGTGAGGACAAAAGAAAAAGCCCACTCGACAAACGCCGAATTATGAATAATTTAATGGCTTGCTGAGATGAAAGCGTATTTCTTTACAGCGCAAAATAACTGCGGTTTGACACACAAACTAACGGAACAAAGAGAAATATTTGTCTTCGCCAAACATAACTGTGGTTTCATACCAACTTGTCGAGTGCGCCGACCTCTGTTTAGAATATTACAGTACTAAGACATTTCAAGAAAATTTTCTGACGAGAAAAAAAAACAGTCCTTGTTAGTCAGCCCCTCCCTCCCCCTCCCCAAAATAAAAAAAGGAAAAAAGAAAACTGATAGACGCGTTGTTTTAATCCAGGCCGTTACACAACGAATAAATGTCCTCAAAAATTTGCCCTGTATTTTTCTGTACATCTTTCTTTTCAAGAGATGTTGGTATACTTCATATGAAAGGCGAGGAAAGTTGAAAATGAATTAAGATCACAAAAACATCATGGCATCATAACTTCCTGAATGTATAGCTCACCAAAATTATAGCAGAAGAACCTGGCTTTCGTCAATCTCGATCTATGACATGCAACTGCCAAATGAAAACGTATTCTCGTTTACTTTTAAAGACACGCGGATAATTAGGAATGGCTGAATGAGGAAACATATTTGATTAAACGCATTTTTTTAAAGCAGAGAAGTATAAATTTCGGATATGAAAAAACAATTTCAAAAATGATTGATTCTTACGCTTACGAAAACAAAATGGTTAGATATCTATCCATTATACTTTTAATCTGCATAGCTTTAGCTAAAAGTTGATGGTCCTTCTTAAAAGGGAAGGAAACTAAATAACCACATTAACAAGTAGAAAAGAGAGTGCATGGCGAAGGGAAATAGTAACATTGTTTAAACAAACCACGTAGGTAGTTTTCGCAGTAATACAGAGGCAGTTGTACACGTAATTTACATGAAAAAATTAAATTGGGTTCACACTTCATAAATACCTTTTAAAGAACTTTCTCAGTCGGATACTCGAAATCAAATGCTCTCTCTCTATTGCTTCTCTTGAAGTGTTTTGTTACAGTGTAAGGATTGTGTTTGACCTTTCCTTCACTGACGTAATAACCGAACTACTTAATTCCGAGACGATTTAAACATTTATACTTGTGCTGAGACATATCATGCCGAATTAAGAATGTCTGACATTCACTGAACAATACCACTCCTTCAAATAGGGCTACCACAACTAAGTGAATGCTTGAGGTCAACTAACCATGAATAGAAAATGAAATACTTCTGTGATTTGTAATGTCATACCTCACGTGTCTTTTATGTTCCTCACTGTTCTTCTATATTCCTCGTTTTGTTTGGTCCACCTGCTTTTAAAAGAAAGGAAAATAACCCAATGATGAAAATGTGCCGTGAAAGGCACATCCAGAAGTGAAGAATCATTCAATGCTTCTTTCAAAGCTTACGTTACAGTGCATTGAGAATCTTTCAACAGTAAAACACGGATCAAAGCTATCATCCAAAGCAACTAAGCCGGAATGAACGAGGAATTTTGTTTACGAATTTTCTAGAAATTAAATCACAGTGCCGAACTGTCCAACGAAACCGTAAACTATGAGTGCTGAAACCATCTTTGCGCCGTATAACATCCTGCCGGATACAGGAAATCCTGAATTCCGACTAAATGTTCATCAAAGATCGATCATGATCTAAAAACTGTTTCAAATTATCACAAACGAAAGCATAACTATTCTTGTTTCCTTTCTGCGTGAGGGGGTAGTGGCTGGGTTTACGATAATAACGACAGAGGCTTCCCGCAGATTCATTTATGTTTAGTAATTTAACGAGCCTACTGTGCAGTTTTATTACAACCTGATGAGTTAGAAAGATACACACCATAGATAAACACATTTTACAAATGACTGGGATGAGTTCACGTGCATTTTGTTGAAAGGTGTTTGATTTTCTCGTTGATCCCCACTTTAATTGAAAGTTAGTAAAATGACTGAGTCAAATCTATTATATACGAGTATTTTAGTACATGGATACCTTGATAAGAACTCAAGCTTTGTAAGTTGCCACACAATAGAGAGAAAATATCAACAAAAGGTCAAAAAAGGATTCGACATTAATTCCATATCGGCGAAATCATAGTAACACCGTGGGAACATGCCTCTATGACTTGAATATGATAGAAGAACAAAAATTTAAAAAAAAAATCAATATTCAAAAACAGACTTGCAAATTACGGTAGAAAAATCTAGAGAAGTAACTTCAATTACTAAAAGGAAGAAAGATAACATCAGAATGCTAAAAAAACTACGAGTTGCACAGATGATATCTTCTTTTGAGAACTGCACGACTTGTTCTTCTGTCAGTGAACCATCGGAAGAATATAAATAATTTAGATGTTTCAAACACGGGATTACCAGTGTCTTTGATGTTAACGAGCCGCCAAGCGACAGGGAACACCTTTGCCTCTACACAAATGAGTTAGTCACGAATCTCTTCTTGGTACTTTCTATCGTCCAACTAAATGCCACTCTTCTTTCTCAGTTAATCTGCAAAAATCATCAAACTGCCTCTCACAGTAGGTTTTGAGTATGGATATGTATAAACTGAACACTATCCACGTATGTCAAACCACCCACAAATAAAAAACACTTTTGTTTTTTTTTGTACAGACCATTAACCTCTTTCACAGGTTATGATTATAAAAAGGTCTTATCACTAAAATCCTTATCGAGATGGTTAAAAAAAAAACTAACAGTCTCTGTGTTTGTCGATTTTTCTCGTGGCACTCTAATGATCCTTCCATAAAACATCTTGTTTCGACAATCCTTTTTTTTTTTCGCTTGCAGTGATTACTGCTGAAAGATTCGCTGTTGGATTGTGTGAAGTGTTTGTTGTTCCCTCTCTGCAAAGTTATCACAGTTTTGCTTTTATACTAAATATAACATGGCCTTCTTCCAAAACTTGACTTGGATGAGTACCAATGAAATTTCATGACGCAAATGGAATTTAAAACTGGATATACTGCATGACTGTTCATAGTTTTTCCAGTGGAGTCCACGGAAGTGGAATGCAAGACATCTTAGAATGTGAAATGACACCCTCAGTGGCCAACCCTAGCACGTGATCCTCGCCACAAAAAAACTGATAAGCTAAGGATTTTGTTCAGTCGATTCTTTCTGGTTATACTGAGCACAAGGTGTATTTTCTGGCTTCAAATCGTGTGTTTTACCTGGAAAAGTCCGCATCTAACAGTTTAACTCGTTTTCTCAAGACAAGTTGCTTCTTAATTGGAATCCCAAAGACTTGAAAAATTGTGTGCTTTGCAAGGTATGCTTTAACAATTTCTTCTGTTGTTTTTCTCCGTTTGTCCTCCTTTTGGTGCGGTGTGAATGCAAATACCTTTTATACTCCACTTGCATTAGAAAGTTTTCCGTCGTTTCCGACCTAAATCGTTGTAAGAAACTTTAGGATACCTTCATTCTTTAGACGCCAGACGGTGCGCATGCATAGGGCATCACGCTTTCTCCACGTCTATCAGCACTACTTAAGGCGTAAAGATGCCATTCAGTTAAGGTTTAAAGAGCAGAGTTTTGCCTATTCGATCGTCCACCATGTAGAAAGATTTGTCGCGCTCTGTTTCCCTTTTGCCAGCCAGCGTGCATATAAGAACATGATCACGGCCTGTTTCCTTCACTACCGTCGTAATCATTTAATCTTTCAAAATTCTACGCGATGGATATAATTAACTTTCTTTATCGTGATCGTCAAGTTATGACCATAACAAGTTAACCCTTCAACGCTCAGAAGTGATTAACATCTATTTTCTCCCTGCAATATTCATACATTATCCACCAAACAAGTAATGAGAATACTCAAAAATGTCGACTAGAAGTTGTTGTCTTGATCTAACACCAAATTCTTGTAACTAATTTAAGAGGAAATATGTAGTAGCTGGAGGGGAGATTTGACCATCAGATCTTGGGAGTTAAACGGTTAACTACAAGCAAGGAAGAGCCAGAGAGAGAGAGAGACAACTTTGTGATTAAGGTGACATTAAGTAATCAAGAAATTGAGCCTCTTTACAAGAAATTTTAAGGAATAAAAATTTTCTTATATGTTATCTCGTCACGCAGTGTGTCAAGCAGCAACAAACATATGCTCTAAAATTTTGGGCGCCTTTTCAATATTTTAAACAGAAACAGTTGATCAAGAAACAATTAGGCGTTAACTTTTATTTGAAATCTGAAATTTTGAGCTAAAGCGAAGCACTTTGGGTACAATTAAGAAAAAAAAACTTGCGATATTGGTCCAAACTGGAAACTGCACGATCTAGCAACAGTGGGACAAAGGTATATAGCTATTAAGTATCATAAAATCTTAAAACGAAGAAGATTGCCCGACTTCATTCATCGATGTAGATGACTCAGTTCTGATATTAAATTCCTGCATCCGCTCGTATTGATTCTTGTGGCAAAATCCCCATTTGAGGAAATGAGACCCTTGTAGTTCGTTATACGGCAACAGCTGTGCCCTTTACTTCCGTGGCAGTTACGCTAACTTTTTGGTGTAGTTTTAAAGAAACAAGTGATTACGTTAGAAGGGCCGAAAATCATCGAGACTCCTTAAATGATTAGCGTAAAGCTCTAGGCCCTTTTATTTCGGCTCAAACCTTCTGAATCACATATCGATGCAGTTTATTTCAAACAGCGATTGCTAATTGATATATTTAAAAGCATAATCGCCGCTTTCTAAATATTTGCCCCATTGATCACGTTTTACTTTCTATGAAAAAGTTACATTGGAACATGAGACGACTCAAACGAAGCACTGCTAAATTCTACAGATGTCTCGTGATTGATGGTTATGGCGGAGCAGTCGAAGGTGCGCACAAAATTCAAGATTCACCAATTCAAGAGCTTGCTGCCAAATCATTCATATTCTTCAATAACTCGCTGTGAAATTGCATTTTTTGAACGTTTCCCTTCTTCATATAAATTTGAAGCATAAAACTCAATTCCAATCAATGATTACTACATTGCTGTAGTTCATGTGTTCACACTGCTGTTGTCAGTGTTGTCCGCACACTAAATATCACTTACCAGTTGTCCTTTAGAATCTCTTTAAATTTTCTTCAATCCTGCCACTTCTTGTAAACTTTCCAGACTCTCAAAGGATGAAACTCAGAATTCGCGTCCAAATCTTGCGTGGGCGTTGTCCCCTGTAAATGAAATGTAAACAATAATCGTT